TTCCATCCCTCCTGTAGGGCAGAACCTCGTGGCCGTGCCTCCAGCAGCCTCCAGGTCTTGCTGTGTAACTCGTTGAAGGGGCTCTGTTGGCACTGATGCTGTCCATGATGCGGTGTCACCACTTTGTGCTCTCCTCTCCAGCCTTCCAAACACCGCCCCCCCGAAGCAGTGCCATCTCTTAACACAGGTTTCTCTCTCCGTCCCAGGCCTGGATCGGGGGTCTCCGAGCCAGCTCTGTTGCATCCTATGGCAACCATGTGAAGGCCAGCTGCCACTGGGTCGCCTTCAGTGCTGAGGCAGCAGGTGAGGTGCCTGGGGGTGGTGTAATTTTGTCCTCAGAGCTGGGTGCCAGGCCAGCTGCATGGGGCACGAGAGGCCCGTGTGGCCTGGAGCTGGTTCTTTCTGAAGTCCCCTGAAGGTGCTGTCCACCCCACAGTCTCCTCATTTTTCTTGAATTGCAAGTGTCCCAAATTGTGGGGGCTTCCTGGGAGCTCTGATAGGTGATGTCCAGGCTGTCGGGCAAGCAGTGAGCTGCTGCTGTGTTCTCTGCAGGTGTGCTGGGCATTGTGCTGCTGGAGGGCAGGGATGGAGGCAAGAAGACCGTGTCTCAGCTCTGCTGCCACTCAGGTAAGCTGGGCAAGGCTAGGTTTCTACAGAGGAAAGAAATTAATCCCAGTCCCTACAAAGAACAGTCTTGAGTTCTTGGGGAGCTTCTCTTAGCACACCCTCACCGTGTTACTCATTGCACAAAATGTCAGTGGGGCAGACCAGTATAAAAAGCACTCTGGGAGCATAATTCTAATCCTTAACTTAAACCAAGCACCCTGCACAAAGGCACCTGGAGCAGACCCGTGAAGCAGCAGCTGCCAAGCAGCCCTGAGGCAGAGTGTGGCTGCCCATACTGAGCTGTGATTGCAGCAGGGTTTACCTGGTGATGAGGGGAGAAGGATGGTCTGGTGGCAGCATTGCTGCTGGCAGCGCAGTGTGTGCCACAGAGGCAGAAGGCATCTGGGGACGGGGGAGTCTGGGCACCCTTCTGGGGTCTAGAGTGCAGTGTGCACCCATTTCTCCAAAACTGCAAGAGAGGGACAAGATGGGAGCAGGCTGCTGAGCCAGTCCCAGCACTGCCTTTGTGCACGCAGTGCTTTGGCATGGCTGCAGGAGCACACAGTGTGCCTGAGCTGTGCTGTTTCCACCGTGTCTCAGACTGTGCATGGCAGCCCCTCTAGTCACTCAGCTGGGGTGCAGCAGATGGGAGCTGCATCCTGCTGGCAAACGGATGGAAAGTCTCCCTTTGTAAGTGAGGTGAGCCAAGGTAGGGAGATTAGCCAGACACTGAGGCCCTCTCTGTGCTGCCTCCTGCTGCAGGAGAGCCAGTGGCTTCGAGCTGTGCCCTGTCACCATCACAGCCACCGGGGCAGCCAAACTGCCACTTAAACAAGGAAGCCTGAAGCTTCCCAGCTACCCTGGGCTATGGTTCAGGCCACGTCCCTCCTGGGACTCAGTCCATCACCTCTGGGCTCGTTGCCCTCCTGAAGCTGTTTGCCCAGCTCCATCTCTGCCCTGTCTGGCGGGTGTCCCTGTGCCACCAAGCTGCCCGTGCTCCTAGAGAAGCGCTCCAGGGGCCAGTGGAGCCACGCAGCCCTTAATGGGATTTCAGCAGAAGCCCTTTGAAGCTGATGATGCCTGGGAAACGCCTCCCTTCTGCATTCAAAGCAGAGAAGGGATTTTCTTCTCCTCCCAGGGCAAACATAGCAGATAAGTCAGGAGCCAGAGTACATCCCTTTCATTTTGTGCCTTCGGGGCCTGCATCTCAGCAGCCTCGTGGAAGCGGAAAAGTACACAGTGACCTACTTTCACCCGGTGCTGAACGCGTTGGAGGGGCTGCAGAGTGCGGTGCCAGCACTGCTCCTGTGGGGGCTCTGCTGACGCCGCACAGGGCTGGGACAAAGGAGCCTTGTTTGCTGGGTGCATGGGGCTGATGCGGGCGCCCTCGCACCGTTGGCACTTCTACCACCCTGCACTGCCGGGGGCTTGGCGTGGGGGTGCCTGCTGTGAAATGAAAGCTGTTTTAAATAGAGAAATGCAGCTGCGAGTTGCTTGGTGTGCTCTGCCTGTGGGGACAGAGGAGTGTGAGGCCCTGAGGGTCAGCGTGGGGGGGTCACAGCAAAGCATGCTGCCCTGAAATGCCTCTGTCCCGGCTGTCTGCATGCACATGGGAAGGGCCCAGAGTTGTCTGCATGTGACCTGGGGATTGAGTCTCTTCTCCTCACCTTCCAGATGCAGTGACAGACTTTGACTTCTCACCCTTTGACCCGCTCCTGCTGGCCACGGGCTCTGCTGATGAAACGGTGAGTGCTAGGTGCAGCGCCATGTGGCTTTCCCCAGCCTGTCCCTGGGCCTTGCTGCAGGGTGGGGGGAGATGGGTTCAGATGGGATGGGCCTCCAGGCTCTGACCGTGTTTTCTGGTGCCGCAGGTGAAGGTTTGGCGCCTGCCTGAGGAAGGGCAGGAGCTGCCCAGCAGTGCAGGGCTGACGCTGGGTCCTGGCGGGGGCCCAGTGGACATGCTGCAGTTCCACCCAACGGCAGATGGCATCCTGACCAGTGGCGTGGGGAAGCGGGTCACTGTGTGGGACATGGGGCAGCAGCAGCCGCTGACAGGTAGGCACAGCCCCATGGGTGTGGGAGCAGAGAAACTGTGCCTGAGCCAACCTGGCCTGGTGTCTCCTGTCCTGTGGGGACGCTCACACTGTGCCCTCAGCAGGCCCTGACGTCTGCACTGGCTGCTGTGGGCCCTTCTGAAAGGCCAAAGCATTGCACCTGAGAAGCTCTGCGGTAATGGAGGGTTGCGTCCTGAGATCTCTGGGTCTTGAAGGTTCAGTGGAAAGGGTTGTGAGAGGAGGCTGGCTGGATGAAGGGTGCTGCTCTCTGGACAGTGTGAGGTGGTGGGCATGTGGGCAAGGCTCACAGGCACAGTGTGCCAGCACTGTCCTAGTTTGTGTTTTGGACTAAAAGGATTTGAATTTAGAAAACCAGCGGTGGCCTTGTGATCTGTGTGACAAACATGAGGTCCATCTGGGGAAGAGAAATCTGCTTTGACTGTGGCGTTCTTCTCAAGCAGAAGGATTTCTTTTGGCAAAAACAAATTGTTCAGGTGGAAAACCAGCATGGTTTGGCAGTATGGTGCCAAGCAGAGCTCCCGCTGCGAGGAAAGCATTGCCAGACAGAGGGTGGCAGGAAAGGGCCTGCTCTGTACATCAGAGGACAGAACCTGTGCCAGCCCATGGTAGGCTCTGACCGTTCTCTCCCCTCCCAGCACTGGAGGCCCATGGGGACCAGCTGCAGAGCATATCCTGGAAGCATGACGGCCGCCTGCTCGGCACCTCCTGCAAGGTGAGTGGAGCACACATGGGGCTGGGAACCTCATCTGTGCATGGTGACGTTGCTGTGCACTGTGTTTCTGAGTGGGCAGTCCTCCTCCTCCTCTCCCTCTTCCTTTGCCACCTGCTGGGCTCTGACTGCCTTAAGCGAGATGCTGATCAGGCTGTTGGCAAAGCACTTGCTGACCTACCCTGTCACCTACACGGGATGTCTCTGGTGACCATAAATCTGCTTGACACCCGAGGAACGTGGGGTGGGAATGGTGACCCCATTTGGGGGAGAAAGGGCAGAACTGGGGCTGGTGGGTGGGATGGCAGCACTAGATGGCGCCTGCTGCTCAACGGCTGTGCACGGTGCTGGATGCGCCAGCATGCAGGGCATGTGCAGGCCTTGCATGCAGGCTGAGTGCACAGGCAGGCCCCAGGCTGTGTGTAGAGGCCAAGCAAGGACTGACTGTGCAAGCCCAGCTGAGCATACAGACTGAGCTTGCATGCCAAGCAAGGAGATGGTACTGAGATGGGACCAGGCGTGTGCAGGTCAAGCACACAGACCAGGCTCCCAGTGCTCCTTTGTCCCTGCAAAATGCCCGTGGAAAAGGGCTAGCACCAGGACATACCCAACCCTTCCCGAGGCACTTGGCTGAGGAGCTGAGGCAGGGAAAGGCTCTCTATGATGCCCTTGGGATGCTAGGGAGCATGTGGGAGGATCGGGCTGAAAGGTCCAATTCCAGCCACCCTGGCTCTGCTCTGGAGACAGAGCAGTTTTGAGAGTGTTTTGGAGCAGTTTTGAAGGTGTCATGGCCTCAGTGAGGCCGTGGGGTGTGCCCATGCCCAGCCGTGGGGCAGGACCTGCAGGATGCTGTGAGCCACAGGAGTGGGCTTTGGGGGAGGGGCAGGAGCGGGAGGCTCCCTCCAGCTGTCTGCATAATGCCGCATTACCTCCTGCTGGCCCCAGGGTCCTTAACCCTTCTTTGTTTTCTTTTTATCTCAACAGGACAAGAAACTGCGGATCTTTGACCCTCGAGCCAGCCCGGCTGCATCCCAGGTACTGTCCCTCCTAGCTGCACTGTGCAGCACGGTGCAGGCAGCCCTGTCCACCTGGGGTGTGCAGTGAGCCAACCCACCCAGCCCCAGCAGGGCTCACATTGTTGCAGGAGGCCCCGCTCGCAGTGAGGCTGTCTGCTGGAGCCCACTGTGGACACGTGGAACTCCTGCCCTCCCATTCACCCACCTGGTGAACTGCCTCAGTTCACTTGGCAGGAGGGACAACAAAGGGGCTTTGGCGCTGCTGCCTACCTGCCCTGCAGGCAGCAGTCCCAAACCATTCAGGCATGAGGGCTCCAGAATGGCTCCTGAGCTTTGTGCTGCCATGCTGGAGCTGAGCAAAAGGCTTTTGGGAATAAAATCCTGCCAAGGGTGAGGTTGGGCAGCTGGATTTGTGCAGCTCAGCAAAATAACAGTGATTAGGAAATAAGTAGATGACTTGGGTCTTGCCATCCACATCAAGTTTAAACAGCCTCTTATTAGAGGCTTCCTGTGGCTTCGGGGCTCTGGCTGCTGACAGCCGCTGTTTCCCCGTGCAGAAGGGGTGGGAGGCTTTTGGGAGGGGAAGGAAGCAGCAGAGAGCAGGATGGGATGGCTGCAGTGTGCTCCTGGCACCAGCGTGTGCCTGCCCCTGGGCTCTGGAGACCAACAGCCTCCAATGTCCGCAGGTGCTCTCTGCAGGTGTGAGAGGTGCCTTGAGGCAGCCTTTGTAAATACAGCAGTACACAGTATTTCAGCATAAATCCAGCAGTTATACATGCAAACAAGCCAGGATGAAGCACTCCCAGCCCTCCGAATGGCTCGGGGAGCTGCTCAACCTTGCAGGGAGGAGCCAGCCTCTGCTCCCAGATTCACTGCACATCACCCCCCTGCTCTCCCTGCCCCCTGGTTCTTCCCCTGACAGTTCTGTTGCTTTGTATAACGGTGTTTCTGTGATGCTGTGAGCTCCGTGGGCTCCAGCCAAATCTCCTGGGGCGGGTGGACTCTGTCTAGCTGAGCTATTAAAAATAACGTGTGAATGATGGTGTCTGTTCAAAGCAGGCAGCTCACTTCCCTCCGCTGCCTCCTGAGCCAGGCCAGGGCCGGCGCTGAGCCCTTGCCGGCACTTGGAGGTTGCCAAGAGAAATATGCACCTTTGCTGCCGCGAGGCGCAGCGCCGCAGCCATAACCCCGTCCGGCTGAGAATTGATGAAGATGTTTAGTCTTGGAGAAGTACTGTGCTGAAGGGGAAAACTTTAAAATGCTATAAATCCTTTGGAAGTTTGCAGAGAGCTGGCTTAGCCAAGAGGGATAACGCTCCTGTGTTTTGTGTTTTTCCCCCTGTTGCTGGAGGGCCAGGATGCTTGGAAGGGCTCCTGCTCCCTGGGGGCAGCGTGGTTACAAAACCAAGGGCTGTCAGGGCCACTGAGTGGTGCCAGTGCCTCACCAGCACCCAGCTTTGAGGCCCACTGGTTCTCGCTGTGGTGAAGGAGGTGAGCGATGGGTTTCTAGCCGGCTCTGCTTGCAGTCGTGGCCGCAGGCTCAGCAATACTGCCAGCACAGCTCCATCCCTCTGCAGCGTGCTTCCAACAAAGCAAAGCTCAGCACAGAGCTGCTCCTCCGGCTGGTTTTCTTAATTTGCCAAGCCTGCTTCATTAAACCATTCCTTTTTTAGAGCAGAGGAAAAGGAAGAGAAGGAGCTAAAAGTGGAGCCTCAGGAGCAGGGAGGAGGGGTGGCTGCTGCGGGGCTGATGTCACTCTTGGGTCTCGCGGGTGCAGTGCACGCAATGTCAGGGACCACGGGATGGTGAAGAGGACATGTGGGCTGCCTGCCTTCTGCAGCCACGCCTGGGACCTCAAGCTGTCCTTGGGAGTGGCCAGGAGCCCCAGGCAGTGGCTGCTTGGCCCTATGGGGCCCACGGTCACCTCTTTGCTGCAGCTGGTCGCATCGTGCCTCCCGCACTGCTCCATCTGGGTGTTGTCCTTTTGTGAGGTCCTGCATGTCCCATCCGCCGTCTTGACTTCTCCCAAGGCCGCTCTTTCCTCCCTTTCCCTCACCTCCCACGGGTTCGGGGCTTATTACTGCTGTAATAATTACTGCTGTCTCCCTCCCTGCCTTGACCTTTGTGTTGGAAGATTTCATCCCATCTCTCCCAGCTGCAGCTGTGGCAGGGCTAGGTGCTTCTCCCCTCCTGCTTTTGCCAACCTGTAGCAACTAGACATGAAGCATCCTGCCCCCAGGCACTCCTGCATGGCTTAGACCAAGCCTGGGGTTTGCTTGTGCAGTAGTTGTGGTCCTTCATGCAGTGTGGACAGTGTTGGGATCATGGGGCCAGGCTGGGGTCAGGGTGCCAGAAGAGCACCAGCACTGCAGGTGAGTCACTGGAATGGCACCAAGTGGCATCTGGCTTACAGCACTGGCAGTGCTGGAGGTGATGTCTCCTTTGATTGCTTTCCCAGCATCCTGATTTGATGCAGCAGAGCCCTGTCTCCCACATGCGGGGTCCCGCATCCACCCCCGCTCTTGCATGGCATGTGCAGGGCTGCGTGCATCTGGTCGGCACCTGGCTCACATTATGGGGCTGGGGCAGGCGCCATCGATACGCCGTGCTGCGGGGCCACGGCTGAGCGCAGCCAGTGTGGGATGGAGAGGAACTGTGCTTGTTCTCACGAGAAACTTCCCCCGACGCTGTTTTGGCAGAACTGGGGGCGAGGGAACGGCCGCGCGCGCCGGGCGAGTGCACGCCTGTGCTCACGTTTTATAGTGCTCCCTTGGAGCACAATGCTTGTGTGACCGGGGCTGAGGGCAGCTGGGGACAATTCAGGGTGTGTTCATCCTCACAGAGGGTTATTTCCCTGCCTTGCAGGCCGTGTCATGGGGAAAGGTGGGGATCTGGGGGTGCCCTCCTCTGCTTGCGGCTCCCCTGTAGCCCTTCTTCCCCCAGCCATTGCCTTGGCTCTGCATCACACAAGCGTGGCCACACAGGCAGGGCAGTGCCAGGGCAAGGTGGATGTCCAGGCCGGAGCCACCCAGCCGTGCCCACCACTTGGACCCCGCAGACCCTGATGTGACACCTTTGCCCTGGATCCTCCTTTGGCGGTGGTTCTGTCCCTGGCTGCTGGTCCAGCTGGGCACCGCTCAGCAGGGGAAGGAGCACCAGGACGTGGGAGGCTCTCTGCTTGCCTCCCCACCCCAGCAGCGTGGTATCCCACGCTGGGGTCACCCTGGGGGTACCTGACTCCCAGCCTCAGCAGCAGCTTCCTCTGGGCAGAGGGAAGGTCTGCAGCATCCCACATTCCCAAGGAGACCGTGGGAAGCTTTGAAAAAGTTGGCCAAGCTCTGGGCTGCCTATTTATAGCATTGCGCGCTCCGCGCTCTCATGCTTCTGTTCCCCAGCGTAACTGCACGGGATTGTTTATATTTCCTCTGCTCTGCTTCCCCCTCGGCTATCCTTCGCAGGAATGCCGCTGGTATTGCAGATATGGGGAAGTCAAGGAGGATTCGGGCCGAGTCCCAGCATCACTACGTGGGCCAAAGAGCTCACCCTACGCTGGGTGCCCGTCTGTCCTGCAGGCATACAGGCCGTGTGGGGTTGGTGGGTCACAGCCTTACTGTGCTACTGCTTGCTGATGTGGGCTGGGGAGTCATGGGAGCCTCCTAGCTTACTGCCCAGAGGGTAGAGGGTGCCACATTGGTCCCTCTCCACTGTGGCAACCACAAACTAAATCCAGTCTTCCCCTATCAGGACTGGCATAGGGCTGCTGGAGCTTTGCTGCAGAGAAGCTCTGTCTGCCATCCCGTTTGGATGCCCAGCAGCTGTAGTTTGGTGAGGCTCAGCAGAGCCGTGAGGCTCAGAGCAGAGTAGTTCGTATGCGGCTGCTCAGAGAGGCTGGCTGTGCTGAATTCCAGCACCTCCTTTCTCTGCTTCAGGAGGAGTGCAGCTTCTGAACACAAAGCCACCTTTTGGGGGCAAGCAGCCCCTCCAGCCTTGTGCTATCCCCTCCCTGTGTTCCTCTGTTGGAGGAGCTGCTCTGCAGACGTGGGCCGGCCTGCCAGAGGCTGCTCTGCACTCCTGGCCACCTCTTGAGTGAGTGGGATTTGGCAGCGAGGGGAGATCGCATTCTTCTGCGGGGAGGATGCACCATGGTTAACCCCCTCAGCTCCCCTGGAAGCCTTTCCTCTGCCCCCTGGGCTCGTGCCTGTTGGTGGCAGCAATTGCTTTCCCCATCCTTTTCTCCACAGGGTTTGGATACCTGCAGTCTGCCAGCTGTGGGCATGACAAAACCAAGGGAGCTCAGGGGCTTCCCCCTGCTGCTTAGCCCTGCCCTAGGCTCCCCAGCCCCTGGCCAAAGGTAAATATTCCAGGCAGAGGCTGGGATCACCCTCGTGCAGAAGCAGCTTTTGCTTTGTGTCAGGCTCTCCTAGGCAGCCAAGGAGCCGAAATCTGCCGGCAGCTGTTGCCAGCTCACGCTGACCCACTGTGGCTGTGCTGCCAACAGCTGCATCTGACACGCCAGGCATGCTCCCCATGGTGTGGAGCACTCAGCCACCCCGTGTCCCACAGCGTCCCTGGGGCTCTTCAGGGCTGGGGACCCCACGGACTTGGTGTGAGTGCCAGGGCAGGATGGGGAGCAGGAAGGTGTTGGGGATGAGCTGATCAGTGTGTGCACAATGAGACTGCCATCATCGTTTGTCTCCAAACCTGCGTTCTTGCCCATTTCCGGCAGCCCCATGGACCTACGTCCACTCTGGGACTCTCACCCAACCACAGCACCCCTCTCACACCACCCCTTCCTGACCTCGGCATCTGCCTCCTGCACAGGACACAGGTGGGGGGTTCCTGGGGGCCCCCCGGGACCGGCTGCCGCTAGGTGGAGCGGCACGCGCGCCATCTGGCCCTGCATGCTCACCTCTGGCAACATCTGCACAGCCTGGTGTCTGAGCCACCTCCGAAACCGGAGCGCCCCGGCCCCAGCCTCCCGCATATTTGCTGACATACGTACTGCTCAGCCCGGGATGGAACTAATGCAGAAAACATGTTTCCCCGCCGCAGCGTGCGCAACGTGGGCTGTGAGCAGCGAGGCCCCGCCAGGGCACTGGGCTGGGCTGGGCGAGGGTCCCAGCACCGTCTCTTCTGCACAGTGATCCGAAGGCGCTTTCTGGCATGCTCTGCCCCATCCCACCCAGCTGGGGACCAGCCGTGGCTCCACCACGTTGCTCACAGGAGTGTCGCAGCTCCCGCTGAGCTACGTGTGCTGCAGAGGGGCGCTGCCACCGAGCATTCCCTGCCCTTTGCCAGCTGTACCACCAGGGCTGACATCTCTGGCTCCCCTGGTGCTGCTTGCTCCACAGGACTGGGAGCCAGCAGAGCCGGCACATGAGGTTTTCAAATCTCCAGCTGTCAAATTTTGGCTGCCACAGCCGTGTGGCTCAGGTGCAGAAGCAATCTCCTCGCCGACAATCCTGGCTGGGGTTGGGCTTCCAGCTCTCCTGGCCTTGGCTCCCAGGGTTTCCTTCCCCTCTCAGCACTGATACTGGCTCTATCCTTCTGTCTAGCAGCAAGGTGCTGAGCTGGCGGGGAGGGCTAGCAGCCCCCAGCCATCTACCTCACTGCCCCACATTGGGGCCCTCCTTGTCCTCACTGCAGTGGCGCAGCCCTCACACTGCACAGGGGACACATCACCTGCTTAACCTGAAAGTGGGACAGGGCTGAAGGGATGCTGGTCCTGGAGCCATGCAGGATGCAGAGGGAAGGATCTAGCAGGAAAGGAGAATGACATCGGGGGTCTGTTTCACCAGGGAGGTCTCCAATGCCAGTGGAGATACGTTGGATCTTGCCCCACATCTTGCTGCTGCTGCAGGGAGCACCAGGCTTGGCTTGGCTCCTCACGGGCCATGCTGGCTGGCGTGGCTGTGTTTGTCCTGGCAGGGGATGTGCTTGGCACCCTGTGCCCTCTCCCAACCTGGCTGTGGGCCCCAGCAGCTCCTCTATAGGGCAGGCATCCTGCTGAGCCTTGAGGGGACTCCTGGCAGGGCTTCTCCCAGAAGCACAGCACCTCTGTGGGGCACAGCTCCTCTAGGTGCCAGGAGAGCGTGTACATGCCATCCCCACGTGCGTCCCACCCTGGGTATGCTTTGCAGGGAGCAGAGTCAGGAGTGCTGGGCTGTGTGGTGGTGCTGGAAGTACAGCACTCAGCTCAGCTCTGCCTTTCCGTGATGGCTCTGGAAGCATTGGTGGTTGGGCTGTTTTCTTGGCGCTGGTTAAGTGAGAGTGAGGGAGTTCCAGCACCTCCTGTGTCGCACAGCAAGCATTGCTGCAAGGTCCCGCTGGGACACCGGAACCGCAGGGCCCATCTGGGTACCACGTGGGAGCCAGCACTGTAACTCCTCTGCTCCTGTCCTCAGCAGAGCTGCACCAGGGCCCAGCAGTGGGACTGGGGATGGTGCCGCAGAGGACAGGGCGAAGTCTGGGTGCGCTGGGGGTCCTGGCCTCTCAGCAACACAAGGGGAAAGGGGCTGCTGGGCTCAGTTTACCATCAGTGTCTCAGTAGCCTCTGGACACACGTGGGGCACCTGCCTCCTGAGCTGGGATTTGGCACGGATGAAGAGCCCAGGATACAACTGGGGAAGTAAGTCCCTCTTACACCCTGGCAGTGGCTGTGCTCATGTGTCTTGTTGCCAGCATGGAGCAGCTTTTTGGCACGCTGACCCCAGGCTCCACATTTGGTGCAGGAAGAGCCATGGGTGGTGGTGGGATCCAGAAGCCATCCCACCACGTTCACATTCCCTGCTTCCACTCTCCACTCGCCCCAGTGACCATATCAACATCACCGAGATGACCCCACAGGGACAGTCCCAGCATGGAGGCCATCCCCACTCCACGGGCACTCTGGGCACCCCTTGGTGGGGAGAAGCTCTGCCCCGTTCACTCAGCCCCGCAGTTGCTCACGGTCACGCTGTACTGTGCACACAGCATGGTCCTGCACGGTGTGGGCAGTGGCAGTGCTGATGGCTGTTCTGCTGTGTGCCTTGCAGAGCGTCCCAGGACATGAGAACAACAAGGACTCCCGGCTGCTCTGGATGGGAGCCAGCGATTGCCTCATCTCCGTGGGGTTCAGCCAGGTACGGGCCTCGCTGGGAGGGCAGCTCTGTGCCAGCCGGGATTTCCCACCCTGTGCCAAGGCCACAGCACGGCCTCCCTGTGATCTCTGCAGCGCTGGATGGGGCTCCCATCCAGCATGATGGCTGCAAGGCAAGGGCAGTCCCAGGGGCTTTTAGAGGGACCTGCCTCAATAAGAGCAGGCTTGGGAAAGGAGGAAATCTCCTCTCTGTCCCTATGGGTAGCAGAGCTTCCAGCCACCTCCTGTCCTTGTAGAACCCTGGCTGCAGCCATGTCGAGCCGTGCTGGGCTCTCCCGGCCATGGAGCTGCTAACAGCAGCCACCGGCCCTCATACCCACAGCCCCTCTGCTGCCCGCCCTGCACTGCACCTGCAGCCCAAGGTGCTGAGTGCATTCAGCTGTGTCACCCCTGGTAGCAGGAGCAGGCTGGCCATGTGCTGCAGCACGTGGAAGCAAAGGAAAGCAAGGACGTGGAGCGAGGCAAGCAGCCACTGATGCAGTCCATGTCTTTGTCCCTGCAGATGCGCGAGCGGGAGGTGAAGCTCTGGGACACACGGAAGTTCAGTGGTGCGACTTTCACCTTGGCACTGGATACCTCATCTGGGTAGGGATGGGGACTTAACGCGGGGTGACAGAGGGGGGACGCGGAGCAGCACAGCGGTGCTGAGCGGGGATGCACTCCAGTGCTTGGGGACCTGCAGTGAGCACAACAGGAGCTGGTGAGTGGCCCCTGGCATCAGCAGCATTTAACCAGAAAACCAGGGGCCAGCCTGGGGATGGAACGGCCCTGTCCCTGGCACCAATCACTTGGGATGGGTGAGAGATGGCAGTATCAGGGGCAGTACGTCTGTGTCCTCAGCAGCACTGTGACAGGCAACAGCAGTGCTGGCAGTGACTGCGTGTTTTGTGGGTGGCATATGTTGCTTGAGAACAGCCAGGACTCTGACACTGTACTGCATGCGGGTGAACTCCTTTGGCACAGCTTGGCCCCCGCCCTTTGCTTGTGATGGGCTAGACACTTTGTGCAGCAGCTCAGGGCTGCCCAGTGACAAGGGCTGCCTTCAGGGCATCCCTTTGGGAAGTGGTACAATGGCTCTCAGGGCTGTAAGGGGTCAGCGCTTCTTTTCAAGGTGTGATGATGATGTCTTTTGTCTTTGTGGCACCACTGGGGCTATCAGGGTGACAAATGCCCCGTCGGGCTGGCCTCATTGCTCCCATGTACCCCTGCAAGCTGGCCATGGTGCACACAGGAAGATGGGAGCCACTCAAAGGGGCAGGTGGAGGAGAAGATAGTGTCTTCATCCCGCCAGAGTGATGGAGGCTTGGGGCAGAACCCTTGCTGTGCTGTGCTGGAAGCCTCTGGCTCTCCCCAGAGCCGCTGGCAAAGCAGCAGGGACACTGGGACCTTCACAGCACAGAGAGCTGGCTCCATCACAGGCCAGAGTGATGGAGCAGGCTAGGTGATTGGAGCAGCTGGGTGCTGGTACATGGCCTCTGGCAAGGAGCTGAGTGAGCTGTGGCAGCAGAAGCAGCACTTGGCTGCCCTACTGTGTCCCCACATGAGATGTCAATCAGCCCCTAGACAGCAATTGGGACTTGCAGGAGGGGAGAGGAATGCTCGCTGCTGTGGTGTGAAAGTGCTGGCATGTCCCTGCTGGGAAGGTCAGCCTAGCATGGTGGCCAGGGAGAAGCCAGAGGTGGCAGAGCAGGAGGCTTCAAAGAATCGCTCATCTTCTGCAAGCTTCAAGGGCTCGGGGCTTGCTGGTTACACTGGGACAATAGGCAGAGGCAGCCTCAGCTGGCTGTGCCTCTAAAAGAGTGAGACTGCTGCAGGGGAAAACACTCCCTCCCCAGTGCTAGCAGGGTGCTCCCGGGCTGTGGCTGCAGCCACCTCCCTGTGTGCCATTAGTGCCCAGAGTGAACCTCCTCCAGGGGATCCACGCACGTGGCACACGGCTAATGGGATGCTTCAGAGTCCTTTATGCACAACCCCACAGCTGTGCAGTGCCTGCAGGAATCACCCCAAAGCCCACCACTGCTCGGCCCCTGTGCACACAGGGACTCAGCTGGGGTGAGCCAGCCCATCTAAATTGGATCCAGACATGGGGCCGCGCTCAGTCCCGTTTGCGCAGGCTGCAGTTATTTTGGCTGCCGGCTTTATCGGCCGCCAGGAATGTGGCTGGCAGGCAGCGCATGGTGTGTCAGCCCGTGGCTTCGTGAGGCTGCAGCTGCATGGCAGTCGGTGCTGATAAGGCGGCGGCAAAGAGGGGCCGGGAGCGCACGGGGCCTGGCTCTGGGGAGCAGTGAGCAGAGGGAGGTGTTTGTAGTACAGACACACAGCCCATCCCCACCGCAGCTGGGGATGCGGCCACCTCGGGGCCGGGTGTGGAGGAGCTGCTCTCAGGCACCATCTGAGAGCTGCCAGCCCCCCAGCTCGTTGCTACCATCTTTTCCCCGCTGCGCCGTCTCCATCCTACCGCTGCCCATGATGGAGTTTGTACACGGGCACACCGGGCCCTGGCTCTCCATCACGGGCACGCACAGCTATCGAGCAGCGCTGCCCGGTGTTGAGCATGCAGGCTGCGCCGCGCACAGCAGCTCATTGAGGAAGCAATCAGTGGGCGGGCAGGAAGCTCATACCATTCATTACTGACGCCGGATGGCAGGAAGGGGAGCATGCAGCATGCCTTGGGCCCCTCGCCTGTGTGGCCTCACGTACCCAGTAGCACCCCAAAGCAGATAGAGAACAGCTGCAGCAGGCCCAGCCCTGACACACTGCCGTGCCCCCACTGAGCCCTATGGGTAGTTGTGTTCTTGCCCAACATCACTGGGGAAGGGGCAGCCCAGTTTTTCTTCTACATCTTTAAGTGTGTTTTGGGGGTGCCCATCTCACCTGTGTGGGTGAGAGCTGTGCAAGTGCAGAAACCCTGCTGTGAAAGCATGGGGCAGCAACACCTGGCACAGCCCAAACCCTGTGGCAGGAGGCGTGGGTGGCCCCAGCCCCACTCCATGTCGCCATCCCCAGCATGCCGCCTGTTGCTCCCTTTGAATCGGGTTTTGTCTTCCCTCTGGCCCTCTTTAATTAGATCAAGGAGCAGCAGGAATAGGCCTCAATAGGTTATTGTTGCCCTAAATTGTAACCAGCACCGGTGGGGTTGGGTTACGGGCTCAGCTGCGGGGTCAGTGGCCAGACCCGATGCAGCAGCCCACAGCCTGGTGCCATCTCCACGCGGCGGCGGCAATGAGAACAGTGGTGCCTTGTTGTGCTGCACCACCGGGTCTGCACAGTGTCCCCAAAAGCCCAAAAATGCTGGAAGCTGGGTTCTAAAGACAGGAGCGTCTGCCAGGAGCCCCATCTGCTTGGCATCCCTGTACGGTGCCTATCCTCACACCCCTCAGTGCCACCACGTTCCCATTGTGCTGCACAGGTGCCATGAAAGCAGGGACAGTTTTTGGGAGGGCCAAGCACCAGGGCCCTGCGTGGAGTGAAGTCCTCAGGGCTGGGCGGCACATGCAGGGAAGGAAGGCAGTTTTAGAGAGCTCAAGCTTTGTTTGGCTGCAAGATGTGTAGGGTGGTTCCCCCCAGGGATGCTGACCCGGACAGGCTCAGTTCACTGCCCATCACCCTTCCAGAGCTCAGACTGAGGATTTGCTCACTCGGCATCTCCGAGCTGCAGGGCTCCAGCTTTTGTGCATGCCAAGGCACACGCCTCCAGTGTCACACTGTCACTTCCCCACTCATTGGCTGTGATGGGACTGTTAATGCACATTTGGATGTGATCCCCACAGCCTCAGCTTCTCAAGGCTCCCCGCTGCAATGGGACTCAACCTAAGGGTGCACACATCCCCCGTTGGGTTATTTCCGTTCCAAATCCCCATGCAGTGGCTCCAGCAGGACCTCCCCCTGTCCTGACGTGGCCATTGGGCCGTATGTGCTGGCTTGTCCCAGCACCTAGCAGCCATTTCCTATGATTCCGGGGCATTTTGGGGTTTTCCAACAACACCCACCCCATCAGCAATGCCTCAGTGGCAGAGCCCTGAGCAGGATGAATCTCTGTCCCCATACCCACCTCCAAAACAGGAGCATACCTGCTTACCCCCACCCTCACCCCCAGGCTTTTCTCTCTTCTCCTGCCAGCTGCTGGTGCCCGCGCCTGGCACAGGGAGGGATGGAGGTGTCCCCGCTGCTGCTTGGAGGGGTTAACGCCGTGTGGCCCCGCAGCCGGCTCCGCTCTTCACGCCGTGTAAAAATAGCCCTGTGCCTTGCTCTGGCGGGAGTGTGGTGAGCTCCGTCACTGCCGAAATCGCTCCCAGATGGGCCACAGCCCCATCCCAGCCTCGTGCTGGCCCACAGCCGCCTCTGCGGGCGACCGCCGCTCCCCAGCCCTGGCCTCGTCAGCTTTCCAGGAAGCCGGCAATATTTCTGCCTTTCCACAAGCTCCTCCTGGCAGCCAAGGCTTCACCGCAATACGCGGGGGCTGCAGGACACTGACACACATGCCACCCTCCTCCAGCTCCCTGTGGACATCCCTCACTCTGGGGCAGGGGGTTGGGGACCCTGGCACCCCTGCTGTGGCCCTGCTAAGCCGTGTGTCCAGGGCTCTTCTGCAGCCATGGCTATCCAGCATGAGCTGCCAGGTGTTGGGGACACCGTGATGTGTCCCACTGCCTGCTGAGCCCCAGCCTTAGTGCTTTGTCCCCAGGGCACTCGATGACCACCCTGTGGGCTTGAACAGCAAAAGGGATTTTTTTTGGTTTCATGTCAGGGGGTTTTGCAATCCATTCCCTGCGCTGATTCAGCTCGGAGGAATTAGCAGCGCCGCACAATGTGCCGTGCTCATCTGCTCTGAGCTGCAGTGGAGCTGGCAGAAGGCGGGGGGACTCTGCACTTAGTGTAGGGAACTGCGGGGGTTTTGAGGCTGCATATTTGGGGTTGTGAGGGCAATTTTGGGGCTGCAACAGCACTTTTTGGGTGCAGTTGACCTCTTGCAGTCATGTGGGTTCAGGAGTGTGTGCCAAGTATCGGGATCCAAGTGCCACAGCGCAGCATGCTTTGCTGCCGCTGCTGTGTTCCCACATGCCAGGGCTGTGCTCAGCCACAGTGCCCAGCATGGTGCCCAGGGGACCCTGGTACAGCAGCTATGTGCTGAGGAAGCAGGGAGGTGGCAGCAGAAGGGTTGTGGAATGAAACCCCAAAGTGCAAGATGAAAGCTGTGCCATGTGCCAGCAGTATCCTTGTATGCCACCACGATGACGCTGTGGCACGGGTGGATGGGGACCAAGTGGCACCGCTGTGCCAGCACAGTGCTTAAGAGCTGCTGAAAGCTGCCAAACCAGCAGGGTCCTGGAGCCCGTAGGAATAATGGGAAGGGAAAAGAAAGGGGCACAGAGGGAAGGGGCTCCATAGCCAGTCCTGGCTGGGGCCACAGTGGTGACACAGGGAGCACCCACCACTCGCCGGCACGGGGCTTGAGCTCCGCCAGGGAGTTTTCTGCTCTCCTTGCAAGGCTGGAAAATATACAAAGCTTGCAGTGAAAATATTTACACAGCAGCAATTTTCAGAGGAATTTGGGATGTTAATTTGAAAAATCTGTGGGGAGAGAA